GCAGCGTGTAACGAAGGTACTGCGGGTTTGTTAACGGCAGGCTATGGATGTATATTGTCATATCTTTTTTATATACGTATTTTGACCCGTTTATACGTTTTATTGTTTCGTGTGACTCAAATGTTATCGATGTAACGTCGTGTTTACTTGAATTGCGATGGGCGCGATATAAAGTGAAGTTGAATTGATTCATACTCCATAGATATCAAACGTTATACGCCATGCCAACGCGCTAGGGATACGGCTCATTGAATAGTTGCCTAAAGGGCATCTTTATTAGAGCGTCTCTCTTGACTATACGGAGCTAAGTTTGCAAAATCACGTATCTTAGGTGACAACTACGTTCGTATCTTTATGACTGTCAAATTGAAGTGGTTAGCAGCGCCATCTAACAACAACGGTCACTGCATCGGGCGATTTCACATGCCCTTCTGTGGCCGTCTGGAACGCTCTTCCTTCCGAAGTTAGGAAGCCACTGGAGCTATGCACTTTTAAATCATCTAGAATCTAGATTCTAGATTGAAAACTCATTTCTTTAGAGCCACTATTGAGTTTAGTTTTCATAATAAAGGTTTTTGGGTTAGATCGCGTTATTTATAAATGTGTCGTAACCCTCCACCACCCGACACGGCCAATCAGCAAAAAGTGTCACGTTGACAAAAGACAAATAATTCAAATAGTTTGTTGTCCTTTCCCCGCACCGCCGATTACCACGGTCAGCTACGTACGGAGAGAAAAAAAAGGTATACATACATACAACACACTGGAAATGCAGGACAGAGTTCGCCTGTTCAATCACCCGGCGCGGCATTGGAAGCAAGGGACACGTTTCTTCAACTCGACCGCCTCTGTCCACCCAGCATTATACATGGGCACATCACAGTTAGGTGAGAAAGACCCTGGCATAGGAACGTGGATTTTCCGTAACTTTTTGCATTGCCCCAAATGCAGAGAGTGGACGTCATCATTCACTAATTTGTAGTAGTTGACTCGTGATCAATTTTTTTTGTTATAAAAGATAAAGGCGCAGCCCTCCCAACTGCCTATTCACGCCACTGCTAGGGGAGCGGCGTCCGTGAGAGAGTGCTCTCCAGGGTATTGTTGACTGACTCTACCATGCTTGCTATGGATCTTGGAAGAGGAGGGAATCGCCCAACACTTTTTCCTGACACACGCGACTTTGCCGGTCGCCTGCGGTGTACCCGTTTATAGTGCCGAGTGTACAGAGGCGTGGGCATCGAATGAATAAACTTGGCACCCGTTGTTTCAACTGCCTCGCCTGGAAATTGAATCTAACCGTCGACCACTGGATTGCAAGTCGTGTGTTCTCACCATTACACCATCGCTGGCAGCATCCAAACCAAATCAGCAGCAGCAAAAAATGAGCAACTTTCCACCGTAGGCAGACTAATTAAGTGTCGTTGCCATTGATTTGATATAATCCTTGAAGAAAACAATGGCTTTCAACTTTGAACATTTTAACATACAATTGTTTGATACGTTCTGCAATGTTCATCGTCTGTGGGTGATCCGGCAAAACAAGTACATTGCACGTTCTCTGATTGAACAAACACAAAAAAACCCATAGCAAACCTCTCAGCTGACAAGAGCTTAAAAAATATGTTTGGGTTTATTTAATTTGTCGCTGACAACTTGCGCGCAACGCGATGAACGTTTTCAGTTTCATCCATTTGGTATAGCGCCGTGAGCCATTCGGCTCTTGAATCCGGTGCAACCGCAACAAACAAAAACATGAACAAGTGGGATAGCGTCGTATCCTCGGCACTCACGGCGGCAAGCCCTGCAGAGTGCCGCAGTAAGATCCAAAGTTCAGTGCTTTAACATGATGCTCGGTTGAACAATTCTGGCAAAAAATCGGTACTCAAAGGGCAAATGTTGTCAACTTACTCTCCAACACACCGGTTGGCTGAAGTGGTAACTAATTGGTGCGTTTTGTTCACGTGACAAACCTTATTGGTTGGCTGTGTCGGATGGTGGTGGGTTAACGACACATTTATGCTCGCGCGATCTAACCCAAACACGTTTATTATGAATAACATGATGCTACCTGGCTGTTTATTGGTGGAGTCATTCGCGTCCTTGCATTGCTTAACTTCGGGTAGGATAGTCCAGAAAACTCTGTGTCTTAGAATCAATCGGACCACGCCAGCCGCATTCATCTCACGTAACTCATTCTGTCCTCCTGATAAGGCAGCGGTGTGTGTGCCGTGGCGTGCAATAGCGGGTGCAGTGGTAAACAATTACTATCATCATTTAGGATAGCAGATAGAAAAAAAATGAAAATATTAGAGAAATGCAAAGTTACGTTTTTTCTTTTGTACATATAAGAAGAAAACAAGAGACTGAATATAAATGTTGTTTTTGGGTAAAATGTTTAGGTACCACAAGAAGCCGTGGAAGACAGTGACATAAGTTGCACACGCGGTTTGAACATTAGGATGCAACTGGGTTGAGTTTTCATGTAAAGTTCTTGAGTGATATCATGAACCCGAGCTAAATGGAAGAAGGCAATGATCACCGAAGTCTTTGAGACAGGACACCATGGCACGTGGAGAGAGTACATTTCACTCTCAGTGGAAGTGCCCTATACCGTTAATTCCTACTCCCAGCCAGCCTTCAAAGTGCTCAGGAAAATATCGAGTGAGAAGGCCTGCGTACAGGATCCATCTTGTGGTCCATGTTTGTAATCGGTAGATGACTCAGGATTATCATTTCAAGATGGTGCTGGTGCCATGTTCCAAATATGGAACAACAATAATTAAGTAATCTACTCCCATTGTCATTTTATTTTGCGTTAGTGAGTCAGGCGTGGACATTTCCACGTTATTATGACAACGATCGGCCTATGCGTGAAACAAACGCGGTTGAAGTGTCACAAAGTCGTAGGCTTAGTACAGCACCCAACCTTCGCCTGACTGGAATTGAAACTCAATAATCTTCTAGATTGTGAGTCAGGCGCCCTGACAAATAATTAATAATAATAACAATGCTCATTATACCAATATACTCTTCTTTGTTTACGCAGAGAATTGAGGACATGCTCCTTGACGCTCAACGCACATTACTCAGGAGCGTCCTTCCTGTTGTGGCGTTTATAAGAAACAGCGTTTCTGCTCGCGGAAGGAAACCGGAGTTCCCAGAGAAAACCCACGCCCACACGAGAATAATAATTCAAGATAGGACCAGCAACCCTCTTGCTGTACTACCCTCTCACAGGCACATCTTAACCTTGTACGTGAGCGTTTCGTGTAGGCTCCGCCTCTGCGTGATCCACCACCCCCGCCTCCAACGCTTACAAATATTCGTACCTGGTGCGCGCCTCTAAGCAACTGCATTTTTTTTTAAAACACGTAAACATGTACGAACACAACTCTGCCTGCACGTGCTTGCTAATGACTCGTGTGTTTTTGACACATCGGTGTAAAACATTTGCTTCGTCGACTACTGTTGTCCAGTGAGCGTTTGTTTAAACACGCAGACTCTGGGCCGGTATCGACGCTTCGTGGGTCTCATCGGCAGGGCGAGGTTTGTTGAAGAAAAATCTCCTGGATTGCCAGATGTTTTCTTTTTATATATACATGTTTCCTTCATTTGATGCGGTAGATGCGTTCGAAGAAAAGTGCCCAAAAAGCGAAACCGCACTAGACAGCTGCCTGCCGACGAGCGCGAGACAGTTCGCAAAGTGCAAACTAGTCCGAGGTCGACTGCGTAGCCGCAAATGAGTTAATTAAAACCGCATATAGCGAATTTTTGTGTAGAAATTGGTACGCCGCATCTACGCAAAATCGCACAAAGCGAACCCGCATGAAGCCAGGGAAACATGCACAGTATACAGTTGATCAGATCTCCAGTTAAAAATGAAATTACGAATCTGAAGAAGTTATTGTTATTCAAAGACGTCATATTCAGACCAAAACAGCGTCGATCTGGTGTATATGTATACCGTCTGATACATTTCCATAGCCACTTAAATGAGAGAGCTCTAAACCAGAGGTAGAAGTAATTTAAACACGTACCTTCATGACATTTGTAATTCGTGATCGACATTTACCTTCCAAGATTCAAAGTAATTGATCATTTATATCGAAATCACACGAAACACGGGTGATGAATCAGTTGTATCTGTATGTATGTACTGCAAGTTGAACTTCTTTCGCACCTTAAGTAGGCCAACCGTGCTCATCGGAGGTGCAAACAGTGTACGTACAAACTAAACACAAAAAGCAATTCTAAAAACATAAATTTGCAATCTCGCTTTAAAAGCGCATACCTCCAGGGCTTCCGAATATCGGAAGGAAGAGCGTTCCAGACTGCCGCAGAAGCGCATCTGAAACGCGCGATGCAGTGACCGTCTTTATTCATCATTATCTGGCGCATAACACACACACACATATACGCAATGCTCGTATACTGTAAACAAATATATAAATGGGTTACACCACAGTTAGTCTCTCGGTAGGTCGCGCGGGGTGGGGGTAAAGTGTGGGCTAACTCCCGCCTCTTCCAAGAAGGCTAGCCCCAGCATGGAAGAGTAGACTCAAAATGACCCTCCAGAGAGGCTATCCAGAGCTCCCTCTATCGACAAAGCCCTTTCGACAATTTTAAACAATTCAATTGGTGATGCTGCTGCGTTAACGCACAAACACAACGAACAACACACTCAACGCACTCGCCAAACATCACTATGGCTTTAACACACACACACACACACTGTGCATATGCATATGTAATCGGCGACGTTTCGGGCAATGGCCCTGCGATGCCCGCCGGCTGCTGCGAGAGCAACCTCTGGCGGGTGCCAACGCCGGTGGCGAGCCGACGGGCTTGAAGAGAGTGGTGGCCGTGTCCATTGGACACGCGCGCCTCTCCGCTGCAGCCAATAGCGACCCCACGGAGGATGATGATGATGATGGGGGTGGGAGGTTCACCCCCACTCGCACCCTCTCCCTTCCACCCACTCCGCCCCCCCCCCACCACCACCAAAACACTCCCGGTCTGCATGCGGACCAGCCACGGATGACCACAGTTATAGCCACCGACTTGAACAACCCTCTGTCGCATTACCGCAGCGCGGGTAAACGAGGGGGGGGAGGGACGTGCAGCAGTTCTCTTATCACAACTCCGCTATAAAAAACAACAACAACAACAACAACCACAAACGTCAATCGAGACTCACTCGCTCGCTCGCAGAATGCGCGAAAGCGCCGTTGTCGACTGTCACAAACCGCAGCAGCAGCAGCAGCAACAGCAACAGCCGATATGCGGGACACCGCTGTAGGCTGGCTCACTCCTCCCGCCTCGTGTTGAGGCTCGGAGCAAGTCGGTGGCGAAGCGGAGCGGAGAGAGCCCCAAACACCGAGAGCGCCCGGTGACGCAGGCGAAGCCAGGCCAGGCCAGGCCAGCCAGCATCGACCGTCACCTCGACAGCAGTTCGCGGCGGCGTCGTGACAAGTCGTGGCTCGAACCGGTCGGATTGCCGTCAGCTCGCCGCGGGCTGTCTCCTGCGAGGATGTACACCTTCGTGCCCTATTACCTGCACGGCTTCGGGGTGTGGGGCGTAAATTACTGCCCGGCGGAGGGCGCCGATTGTGCACGGGCAGCGAAGCACGGGTGCGGCGGTGCTGGCGGTGCTGGCGGTGGTGTCGGGGTGGTTCCGTTGCCGGCTCGCCTGCCGAGACCCTCGGCTGTGCTGGCTCCGGCGGCCGCGGGCGCTGCCCCGGGTGGCCCCTGGCAGGCACCCGCATGTAGCAAGGAGCTCAAGTTCGGGATTGAGCGAATTTTATCCGGAGACATCCACTCGCGGCCCGCCGACGGGTGCCTGAGGTTCCAAGGTGAGTCTTGGTGCGGTGTTGGGTGCCGCATGGGTTGTTTCGGTGTGTGCGAAGGGGCGCTGGCTGTCATGGTGATGATGAAGATGATCATGTGCAGCACATTCTCAACCCACTGCTGGATGAAGAATCCTCCCCCCCCCCCCCGATCGCACCTTTCGGTCATGGGGGGGGTTGTTTGACCATACTTCGCCACTCGAGGTCGTTGCGAGCTGTCGGAGAAGCGAGCGCACGGATATCGTGGCTTGCGCGTGATGTTCTAAACTGGTCTGGGATCGAACGCAGTTCACTCACCAGTGCGCCACGGCTCCTCCTCCGATGATGATTATAAAACGACGGCAGTGTGGTGACAGCTACTATACCCTTTATTTACCACGGAAATTCCCACTTCTCAGTCTCGATACACCCTTTAGAAATGTATTTCTTCGGACTGTAATAAGACGTGGCATTTAGGATTTCACATTGTACTGCACTATATTATACAGCACTGCCCAGTGTAGTGAAGTATTGTCAAACAATACCCCCCCCCCCCCTCATCTAGCAGTAGATAAATAGAGCAATGTTAGCTGTTTGTGCATGGCGCTTCACCAGTTCGCTTCATCACTGGGCCACTTGGCTCCGTGTCGCCGGTTCCGTGCGGCCGGTTACGCCGTCATTCTCTTGAACGTTTCTCCGAATTAAAGCTCGCAGCCGACAGTAAAACGAAACGTTAAAGACCCTGTACCGTAATCGGCTGAAATTAGGCCACTGCGTACCGGTGAAAGAGCATTACGATCTCACTCTAAATGTATCGCTCAACGAAAATAAGAATGGCATTGGGACCGGTGGTGCAGTGGTAAGCGCACGGCGCTTTGTGAAACCGGCATCCCGAGTTCGATTTTCGCCCACGGGTAAACATCAGTGGCGAGTGATATCTGAACCGGTTGTGGGCATCTCTCTACTCACCAACCCGCCACCACCCAACTTGGTGAAGTTATACTCCAACAACCGACATAACCGACGAGGCTTTCATCCAGCAGTGGATCGACAATGGACTGGAAAAAAAACGATCACATTTATCTCACCTTGTGTTTCGTATGCCAAATGGCTACGGAATCCTATTTGGGGAAATAAAACCCGGCTTTGCATGGCTCCTCCAAAGACTCTCTTCCTGATGAATAAAAATGCAAACAGTATACGTATATACACAGTCTGGAGCGCACTGAGGATGCATGAAGGTTGATTACTGGCATATCGTGTGTGCTGGGAATGCCCGTGTCATAGTTAACGGCCTATCATTATAATTGTATCGTACAGTATAAACCGCGCGTGCATATCACTTTACATAGCAGCAATGAATTGTGCAAAAGTTAAACGCTGGTCATTAATCTACTGAAACACATCTTAACTATAAACCCACTGCAGCAGCAAGACCCTACCGAAAAATAGTCGTACGACTTTCCTGGATTAATAAGTGATGATTATTATAGTTTATCGTTATAAAAAAAGCAAATACAAACAACAAATGAGCACGTCTTGATAAACGTGCGTGCGTGTATGGAAGCACAACTCTGCTGTTCGCCTTCACGCGTAAATGTAAATATTTAGTCCATGGGCATATTTATTGCACTTCCGGACGAAGTTATCTCAGCAGCCTTTATTTAAATAAAACAAAGGGCCTCATCGCATGTTCTATTCACGGAGAGACACCGAACCCTGCGTGCTGGTAATGTACACTGTTAGCCACAATGCGCGAATGTTAAGTTCCCGTTATATGCATAGATAACGCGGTGATCTGTCTAGCCACGTGGTAGTTAGATATGCCATAATAACGATACGATTTACGTCGATTTGCTGTTAGTACAATCGCTCTCCGATTATACCACCGCGGTCGTCTCACATCGCAGGCCAAGCAGCCTTCTCACGATGCCTGCGATGATGACGCACGCGGGTCTTTAACGTGCCTTGTACGATCGCTCCGCGAGCCTCCATCGCGTTACATTTCCAACAAATTTGAAAGCCCCCCCCCCCAGTGGCAGCTGTCCCTGTGCGGCACAAGGTGACTCAGCACGTGGCCCGCAATGAAACTGACATTAGTCCGGAAATCAGGAGGAGGAGGAGGAGCGATCATTGAGATGCGTATCTCAATTAAATTATTTGTGGTGTCCATTTTTGGAATTTTACGAAGCATTGCTCGTATGCATGTTAATACACCACAAACACATACATATATATAAAAGCGTACATGTCTGTTTATATAGAGGACCACAGACCTTCGCCTGAATAGACATGTTCTATTCTATTCTTGCGTATGGCAGGCAATATTTTCACGTGCTAAGTGCCAATGTCGAGGTCTGCTGCTGGCCACGACGAAGGGGATTCAGGAGAGAGAGAGTTTGGGTCGTTTTGCTCTTCCTCCTCTGTTGAGGGAGCGCAGACCGCAGTGGGTTTACTAGACGGTCGATACTTTGGGTTGCATGGCCACAATCGCACTACTACTGTAGCCTGTCTTTTAATATATCTCTGTGAGTCTCTATGCATCTCTCTGACTCTCTATGTATCTCTATGTGTCTCTACGGGTTTACTAGACAGTCCACATAGTTTGGGTTGCATGGCCACAAAACACGTGTGGTACGTGTGCATACGCGATCCGTGCATAGAAGTAACGCACACTCGTTCCTGGCATGGAAGTAATATTTCCCATTAAAATGCCGATTCTGCGTGTTTGGTTCACGCTCAGTCGATGCAACAGAAACTAAAATAACCTCTCACGTTTAAATAAAGCATCCCGCACCTCCGATTAGCACGGTTGGCTACGTGCGGTGCTAAAGAAGTTCCAAGTACACGCCTCCATTGGATATCTCGATTCACCACCATGGCTGGAATTCGGGGAGCGCAAATCCATAACAGCAGCTCTTTAAGCCAGGCACACAGTAAGTTACATTTGTTCGGACATAGGCTCGACAAAGTTCACATGATGTCTTACTATATGTAACGTGAAAAGAAACACCTCAACACACTCGTCAACAATACTCCTTAAAATAAAAATAAACTATATTTAATCGAAAACGTTTCGGGCAATCACCCTTATTCACAGCACATAATACAGGCGACATAGGTCAACGTCCAGTAATGTATTTACACATTCATTATGCAGTGTCGTGTAGCATTTTTTTTTATTAAAGCAATAATTCTACTCCGTGTCTGTAAATATACATGTAAATGTGATTGTTAGTCCATCACCCCTATTGGCTTTCCAGACCAACGTTATCAAGCGGCATTTTTTTCGTTTAAGCAATCAGACTCTAGACCGGTTTCGACATTTCGAGTTTCATCAGCAGTCAGGTTCGTTAAACTACACACATATATACAAATGCGCGTACATGAAGCAATATTAACACACAATATACTCAAGTTTAACAGCAACACTTATCCACACATATAACGGAAATGAGTTTAAATATGAATGTATAATTGCTACAATCCACTGCTGTATTTGTAATTTTTTTTTTTGTAAGCGGTAGCTATTGCTTCGCCGCAGTTGGGTTCGAGACAGGGATTCTCTTCTGACTCAATGAATAAATATAATGTAGTTGTTTATTTATTATGTAACAACATATATTAAATGCATATACATTAACGTCTCATTCAGAACTAAATCAATATACTGTACAGATAGATTTTAGTTTAAAGAACAAAAGTGGTGCGGCGGCTGCCGTTGGGTTAGCAGTGGTGCACAAATAGCAAAATTTCAACCACATTCGCCACGTAGATAACGTTTCGGGCAATGGCCCTTCTTAAGTTCGTTGCTTGGAACAAGTGGCCCATCACCAGACACAACAGCTATGATATATTTTCTTCACAGGAGTGCTATTGTCGAACGTGTTGGGTTTTGTTTTATTATAATATATTATTTTGATTTAACGTTTAACATCTTAATAGCAAAAAAACAAAACCACGACTAAATCGCAACACAGAGGCGAGTACACCGGTAACTTTTCAGCTTGGAGACTATGCAATGAGTTATTAATTACGTAATAAAAAAAATATTCGTGTCGAACGTGGATAGAAATATGAAATGGGGGCCTCAATAATGGACTGCATGGGGGTGTTGCAGGGGATGACTGCGTGAGACACGTCAACACCTTCCACAGATCAACCCGTTGAGAACCCATCAAACGTTTGCCTCTTGCAACGGCGACCTGGAGTTTGCATCAAGATGTAAACACATTACGTTTTGTTTTAAAGCTTCCGTGACACACCTGATGATGATTGCTTGTGTTGCAATCGAAACGTTGTGAGAATTGTATTGTTTTATTTTTATTACTTTATTATTTCCCTTTCTTCGTGACTTTACTGAAAGAACGAAGAATACATTACGTTTTGTGACATTGCTGCTGCTGCTGCTGCGTTGGCAGTGATGCTCAAACTAAATCATAAACTATATATTTTTTTTTTGCCAGGTAAGGCCCACTGAGCTATATATATAGTATTTTCAGAAGCGACCTGGCCACAAGTGATAGCCCAACGAATTGGCTTCATCACGTGGACATTCATAGCAGCCAAGTCCTCTAAATGCATTTTGATTCTCAATCTTGAGGGACAAATTAGAGGACCCGGAGAAAAATCCAAGCGACCACGGCGAGAGTGTGCAAATTCCAAATATGCAGCAGGCGTCAGGGTCGGGATCGAACCCACGACCTCCTGTATACCAGTCGAAGTAATTCACATCTCCCCACCGTGGCGTTCAGCACAGTTAACAACAAAAACCCCACCAAAATCATTCCGTGTCACTAACGCTGCGTGCCCATTAAAAATGAACGTATATAAGAGGCGATGTTTTTGGCAATGTCCCTTCTTCAGAGCACCATAGACAAATCAGAGAGGTAGAGTGCCTCTCTCTCAGTGCTGTGAAGAAGGACCATCGACCGAAACGTCGCCTATTATATACGTTTTTTTTTGTAAGGCCACACATGCAGTGTAGTTGACGAATGTGCTGAGTATTATTTGTTGAATTATATCCT